CCACCCGGTGTGTGACACCCCAACAGGCCTCTAAAATGGAAAGAGGTGTGCATTTTAAATTGCCTTCCGTGGGGCTCGGACAGGCTGGAAAGTCAGGGTCAGCAGAGGGGGTCCTCCCTGAAACAGACAGGGCTCCCAGGCATCTTCCAAGTGCCAAGGGTATGGGCCCCTGCGGGCTGGGTACCAGGTCAGCCTGACGGATGCTGCTTAGGCAGGTCAGCGCCTCTACTCCGGCAGGGTGAACGAGGACTTTCCGGGTGCCCCTGCTGCCTACGGCCCTCTAGTCCGGCCATGCCGCATGGGTGGCAGGGGGTCCTGCTGCATGAGAGCAGGTCCCACCTGCTGGAGACACAGCAGATGGCATCTGGGCTCATGATGAGGCTGAGTGCGCTTGGTAAGGACAGAGGACTGACTCCCCTGCATCTCCCGGCCACTGCCCACCCTGTGGGGGTCTCGGAAGGTCCTGGGCTGAGTGAGGGAAAGAAGCCTAAACGGGGGTCGTAGCCCATGAGCCTGCGGCAGGCATGACACACCCCAGCCCCGGCCATGCCTATCACCCCTACACCTCTGCAGCGACCCTGGGCGCCTTGGGACGAGCTCCCCACCGCCTGCTCGCCTCTGCCCTCCCTGCCCGGGCACACAGCACACACAGTGGTACGGAGAGCGCCCGTCCCTCCGGTGCCCTAACACAGACGGACAGACGGACGGACAGACCAGGGCAGTTCCAAGACAGTCCACCTCCCTGCGCCCACCGCATGTACACCTCCGGATCCCCCCCAGGACAGAGGGTCGGCGCAAACATGTCGGAGCCTGTCAGAGGCTGACACGCACGCGATGGCCTCCCACAACGCTCACCGGACAGAGGAGAGAATGAGGTCCCAGGGAGGGCGACGGGCTTTGCCAAGAGCCAGGTTTGCCTGCCAGATCCGTGCCCAGGACCACTCGGGCACAGATCAGAGTGCACAGGGCCGTGTGGTTGCACACACATGCACTCACATGTCATGCACGCCCATGCACACAGGTGCATGTGCACACACACACTCACACTGCTTCACACGTGTGTACGTGCACACACCATGCTCACATGATCTCGGGCGGCCACCCTGGTGAGCACGCAGCCTCGCGAGTATGTGACGTTGCTCCTGTCCTTCCGCCCCAGGTTGTGCCCTCCTGTGTGGGATCCCACCTCAAGCGGGGCCTGAGCGAGGAGCCGGGGGGATGAAACCTTTGCTGGCCTGGCTCCTGTGCCTGCTTCTGCTGGGCCTGGCCCTGAAGAGGGCTGCCAGCCAAGCCCACCAGCATTCCATGGAGATCCGCAGTGAGTGCCCGGACCCCGGGCCTCAGCCTCCCTCACCTGCCCCCACCCCTCCATCCCCAGGTACCGTGGCCGGGGCCTGGCCACCTCCTAACCAGGGGCACCGGCCTTGCTAAGTGCCTCAGCTCCGGGAGGGGTGTGGCCTGCCGTTCACCAGGCCTTTCCACAGAGTGGCCCTGTCACCAGCTCCCCGGCGCCCCTGCCCCTGAGCAGCACACAGTGGAGGGGGTCACTTCCTGCCCCCGGGGTGGCCTGGGCCGAGAACCCGGGGGTGGGGCGAGGGGAGGAAGGGGTTGCTGGTGAGCTTGAATTCCCATTTCCCAACGCTCCCCCCTACCCAGCAGCGGCCTCGCCACCCACTCTGGGTGTCCCTGCTGTGCAGGTGGGTCCCAGCATGGCCTGGGCAGGTGCGCAGGGGTGAGCTGGGGGCCCCTGTGGGGAGCGCTGTGCGCGTGCGCTGGGCCCTGCCACCCGTGGGAGCACACGGTGCACGGTGTCAGGGGACGCACCGCCCACACCCACGCCCGACTCTTGCTCTTTCCTCCCCAGCCCCTGACATCGATCCTGCCTGGTACACGGGCCGCAGAATCAGGCCCGTGGGCCGCTTCGGCCGGAGGAGAGCAGCCCTGGGGGACGTGGCGAAGCCGAGATTCTGGCGCCAGCCGGCCTGCTTCCCCCTGCGAGGAGGCACCCAGCCCGCCCAGGATGGGTGACAGCCCAGCCCATGGAGGAATAATTCCAGGAGCCAACCCCCAGCCTCCCCGCCTCCACGGGCTACTTCCCCCTCGATCCTAATAAAAGCAGCTGGCCTTGCTGCGGTGCGTCTTTGTGGTGGCCACGTGGGAGTTGTTCGTCCTCATGGCATGTTAGCCTGGAAGGACACTGAGAGCCCAGCAGCCCAGAGGTGCCATGACTTGCCCGAGGGCACCCCGCACTGAGTAGGGGAGTGGGGCCTTCCAGGGTCACCTGCAGCCCATCATACCCTCCACCCAGGCTGCTCTGAGTGGTTGCCCAGGCTGCACACTGCACCACCCCGTGCAGGAGGCCCCGGGGGAGGGCAGCACAGCCCCTCAGCCTGACCTGTCCCTCTCCAAGCCCAGTCTCTTTTACCTCTCTTAGCACTCGGAGGAGAAAGAGAAGCGTGAGCTGCTTGTTTCTAATCAATAGCAGGAGACATGAACCTTAAATGAACCACAGTGTTCCCCTTTACCACCTGTTTCAAACTGTGCCAAGATGTCCCCGTGTCCTGCCTCCGACCAGGCAACTGAGCCCAGCCCTTAACTCTGAGACTCAATTTCCACATCTGAACACCCAGGAGAGGAACACCCGCCTCATTCCACAGCTCAGGCAGGCACAGCACCTGCTTGCGGGCCAACACGGTGTGTGTGTTCAGTGTAGACCCCTTCCCCAAGGCCCACTCCAACACAGAGTACGGGAAGGAGGGCGGTAGGGACAGGCTTATCCAGTTACTTCCACACCCAAAGCATGCGGGCCTCTGCCTGCACTGTTTGCAGAGTCTCAGGAGCCCACCCTGACGACGGGACTTCTGTCGGTCCATACTCAGGAGTCCCCAGAGCAGGCCTGCAGGACCCCAGACCCCAGCTGTCCCTGCTCCAGTTCAAGGAAGGGGAGTCCATCAAGAGGAAGTAGAGCTGCCCCACCTCCCCAGCCCCAGGGAGGCCCCAGGGGGGGGCAGAGGTCAGCTCCTCCCAGGGAAGAGCCCCCGCTACATGGGCACCTGCCCAGGGTGGAGTGAGCACGGGGACAGGAGGGGCCAGGACCCTGCCCAGGGCAGGCAGGTGCTGGCCCAGGCCTGGAAGAGCGAGCAGCCAGGAAAACAGTCTGGCACGTCCTCAGAAAGTTACACATAGAGTCGCCATATGGCCCATAGCACTCCCGGCTCCGTCCCCGAAGGAAGTGAGAACAGGTGTTCAAACAAATATTTATACAGAAATGTTCACAGCGGCACAATTCACCATAGACAGAAAGGTAGAAACACCAAATACCCAGCAACAGCTGAACAGATAAACAAAACGTGGTCCAGCCACACCACGGATTATGATTCAGCCATTAAAAAGGACTGAATTGGGCTGAATGCTCCAGCTTGGGTCCTTGAAAACGTGATGCTAAGTGGAAAAAGCCAGACACAGAAGCCCATACACTGCATGACCAGATCTATATCAAATGTGCAGAAAAGAGACATTGCTGGTTGTCAGGGTAACTGCTTAATGGTGGGGATGAAAATGCCTTGGAACCGGACTCAGGTGGCGGTTGCAGAACACTATAAATGGGCTCACACCACTGAGTTGCACACTTTTTTAGAAAAGAGTTCACAGCTCAGGGTGAGGCTCAGACAGGGCAACACAGCGACGTGAGGATGGGCAGCCCCAGGACGCTAGTTCATCTGTGCCCCGGACAGATGAAGAGGCGGGGGGGTTATGTGTCCTACAACTTATCATGAAACTTTCAAACACACAAGAAAGTTCAAAAAGTAGTCTGATGAGCATCCACGTACTTGCCACTTAGACTGAACAATTATTACCGAGTTTCTCTCTCTCTCTCCCTCTCTCTCTCCCCCTTCCCATTTGGAAGTAAGTTATAGACACCATGACATCTCCCCTAGATGTTCCCACATGTTCCTCCTCAAAATAAGGACAGTCTCCTGCATAATCTTAAAATTATTGTGCTTAAATCATTTTTGAATAATTCCATAATATCATCTAGTTTCTAGTCTATATTCAAAAATCCACAAGTATGGCCGGAAAGTCTTGACTGTCTTTCTTTCTTTCTTTCTTTCTTTCTTTCTTTCTTTCTTTCTTTCTTTCTTTCTTTCTCTTTTTTTCTTTCTTTTTCTTTCTTTCTTTCTTCCTTTCTTCCTTCTTTTCTTTCTTCCTTCCTTCCTTTCTTTCTTTTTTCTTTCTTTCTCTTTCTTTTTGAAACCAGGTTGCAATCTAAATTCACTGTTGCTGTTAGGTATTGCTCATTAGTCCCTGATCTTTTTTTGTCGTGACGTTGACTTTTACAAGAGCCCAGACACAGTATCCTGTAGAATGATCCAGTGTGTGATGTGTGGATTGTTCACCCGGATTGTTCACTTTGTTCCTGCAGCCAGCATCTGCCTGTGGATTGTTCACTTTGTTCCTGTTCTGTCCCCGCATTTCCTGTGGTCTGAGAGGGAGATCCAGGGCCTCAGCTGGATTTGGTTACTCACTGGGGACACAAGGGCTCTGTGTCCCTTCTATTGCACCTCATCCGATGGACAATCCGGGCCCCGCTCTGGCAGATGCTGGGCCTGGCCCTCCCATAGAGGTAGATCTCGACTCTAAGGGGCCTTCCTGTGGCTCACTGTGTGCTTGAGGCAGGAGCCGGTCTACCCAGAGCCCCCAGCCAGTCATTTAAGCACCCACTGAACACCCCTGTCGCACAAAGGAGATTCTCCAATTCCTTCCACATTTATTAGCTGGATTCTTCTAAAGGAGGTCCCACCCACCTCTCTCTCTTTGTTCAACACCGACAAATAATTTTGGATGCTCAGATTGTCCTCAATTTGGCCAGTGGGAGCCCCGGGAAGAGGATAAAATTTTTTTAAGCAGGCTCCACACCCAGCATGGAGCCCGACGCAGGGCCTGAATTCACAACCGTGAGATCAAGACCTGAGCTGAGCTCAAGAGTCGGACACGGACAGCTCAATGGACTGAGCCACCCAAGAGCCCCAGGAATAAATTTTAAAAGAAGAAGAATGGATCCCTGAGTTGGGCCCTCTGGGCTGTTAAAAAACAAAATTCAAACATTTGAAGATCTAATTGGCTTTATTAAGTGACTCATGAATGGGGCAGCATCCAGTCTAGCCAGTAGAGAGATGCTCTGCCAAGGTGCAGAAAAGGAAAGCTTTCTAAATGTAGAGAGAAGGCTCCCTTTTTTTAAGGAATTCATTAATGTTGTTTAGGCAAGGTCGCCCTTGTAAAGGGGAAGGGGTCTTTCGGAAGAGTGCCTCCAGGAAATTCCAGTGTGGCAGGTTAAAGGTTACATTCCAGAGGGGCTTGAAACTGCAGTTGGGTTAAGTATTAAATCTGGCTTTACTGATGCCTTAACTCCAGTGACTTCTTGGGCCTTGTGGTTTTCTTTCTGACTGTGCGAAGGGGACTCCTCCAGGGTGGTTGGAGGAGACCCCTCCCACAGAAACAAGACAAGGAAGGGGTACGGTCGCAGGCAGGTCAGCAGGGTTCCTCCGAGGGGCCACTTCTGAACCCTCGGAGCCTCCTGCCCCCACCACCTACACACGTGCACACACACACACACCCAGCTCCAGAGAGGAGCCAGGTCCAAACTCAGGCTGGGCAGGGCTGGAGCAGCTTCCCAGGCGGCAGGCGGGACAGGGGGCTCCCAGGCTGGCCTTCCTCGGGACCTGAGGCCAGTGCAGACCTGGAAGTGGTATTCCCAGGAGTCTTCGTGGGGAACACATCGCTTTGCATGCTCCACACCCACTGCCCCCCCCCCATCACAGGTTTCGGGATGGAGCTGAGGTGGGCAAAGCATGGCACAGAAAACCTTCCATAAACACCTGTCAGTTGTGGTGAAGGCTGGTTTTGGAGACTGCCTTTCCTTTAGACCTCAGGGGAAGGACCAATTTCTATCCTCTTGTTGGACACACATTTGTTGAGCACCTGGCTTGTGTCAGATGTTGCCAGGTGCCGAGCACCCCACAGAAGGAAGAACAGAACCTCTGCCCTCGGGGACATTCCCCACCTTGCCAGAATATTAGGTTCACCGGGGAGGGCTCAAAACGCCCAGAGCCCAGGGCCCAAGCTGCACTGTAGACGGATGGAACGACAGCCTGTGGTGGGCAAGGGGCGCTGCAGGCGGAGGCTTCCAGGTGATTCCGAAGCAGGGTTGAGCCACTTGCCTGGTGGGGCAGAGGAGAGGATGAGGAGCAATCACATCCCGGGAGATGGGGAACCTGAGCTCCAGAAGCACAACGCACCCCATCCAGTCTAGAGGCACAGTGGAAGGATGCCTGGTGGAAATCCGTCCAAGGATATGTTTTAATAATAAATTCTAGCACAGTGATACTGACTTGACAAAACGGGAGGGAAATAGGCATAGATATTTGGGCATCCTACACACATGATCCTTATTTCCCTACTTGCTGTGGCATCAATCAACTCGTCGGAAATTTCTCCGAAAGCCTGGCATTTAGCAGAGAGAATGCGGGGCCCCTTGAGCAGCAGGGTTTGCCCTGAGCGATGCTGGAGCGCCATCTAGTGGCCAGGGACACACCAGTGTCCAAGGTTGGTCCCACCAGGTGCGCACAGAGGGGGTCCCCAGCCCTGCTGCAGCGGGGAGGTCGCGGGGAAAGCGCAAGACACAGCCTGGCACCCCAGGGACTCACCTCCACGTACTTCATCTACGTGGGAATAATCATATGAAACACCGTGCAACTTGACTACAGTCAGAAACCGGTGAAATTGTTTAAGAAACATAATAGCGTGAGTGGAAATCTGGGTAGCAGGCTCTCTCAGACGCTTTTATCTCTGTACTTATCCTTTAGCTTTTCTTGACGATCATGACGAGAGAAGCCTTGTGAAATCTGCATTTGCCTGGAAAGACACACGAGAAGCTGCTTGAGAATATGCATCAGGAAGGTCTGGATCCGTGGGGCACCTGGGCTGTCCCCACCTCCTCAGGGCCTGGGTGCAACCTCCTTCCATGAGGTTGGAATGCAGGCGGTCCCAGGCCTGCTGGATGAGGGAGGGACCAGGGGCCAGAACAAAGGAGGGAGGCTTGCGGGGAGCCCTGACCTTTGGCGGGATTCAGCCACGCTGAGACGACCTCAGCTAGATGGGTCCTAGCCAATGCCGGGGTGTGTCCTGGTCAGTCCTGGGCTCCCCATCCACTGGGCCCCAGCCAAAGGTCCAGGTCCGTGGCTGGGATGATGGGCCCATGCAGGGTGGACACAAGCAGAGAACCAGTCCAGAGGAACCCCTAGAAATGCTGGCACACCCTTCATGGGTGTCCAGAGTTCAGCGTCATCGTGAAAGGATGCTTAACACCTGTCCTGCTGTTGATCCTTACGGTGAATACACTGAAGCCGGCCTTTTCAGGCGGACAGCGGTGTCTTAGTATTTATAATTTCAGACTTGCTTATCCCAGACCCAGGGGCAAGGATGAAAACCAACACCACCCCTCCCCCTCACAAAACAGAGTCCCCTCTGAAACACCCTCACCTCGACATCAGGGCTTAGCTCCCAAAAAGACTATCTGGGCCTCCCCCTAAAAGCAGGCAGTAACTGGGCAAACGCACGACATGTCACCCCTGGAGAAATGTCCTGTGCCACCTGAACCACAGGCGGCGCATGGGCCTGCCTCCTTATTCGCTCAGGATGAGCCCTCCTAGAACCCGAGGCATAACAAACCCCGGCCTTGCAAACTCAGCAACACCAGGTTAGAGACAGCGGTTGGATGTTTGCAGACACATAAACAGTACCGCTCACACCACGGGCCGGAAGTGTGCGTCCTCAGGCTCGCTGGGCACAACCGTCACCTGCTAAACTCAGAGCCAGGGGAAGAGAGCCGAGAGGGGCCTGGCCCCCCAACCCCAACCCCAACCCCGCCCCAGCTGCCCCATTAGATGCTGTCCCTCCCGGGGCCACCGCCCCGAGATGCAGGAAGTGGACACAGCTCCATGATCTTCCTGGCACTGTCACCTCCATGCGGGCCTGTCCCCTTCTCCCCCAGCTCCCAGAACCATACACACACACACCTCCCACACGCACACACACCCCTCGCTCACTGCCCTGATGTCTCATAGCACTCTGCTTGCATCTCCGAGGCATTTTTTCTGCCTTTGGTTGTTTTATGAAACTCTGGCTTTCTTCTTGACTCTCTCTCACTCAGTTCCTAGCAAGGAAATTTGGATTTACTCACCTGTCCCTTTATCAATAATTTATTGAGCACAAAGAAAAAGATCTGCAAACCCACATAAGTGAACATGGGAGGGCCGGGTATGAAGGGCCATGGGCTCCTCGCGACCCTGGCTAACCCTGCAGGGACCCTTGCAGGCGGGCTGCACAGCATCTCCCTGCTCCCTGGGAGACAGGACGCGGGGCCGACCCTCCGCCAGCTCACAGGAGGCCTGGCCTGGGTAGTGCGTGCAGCCCTCCCCACGTCTGCGGAATAGCCGTCTCTAGACCTGACTTCTCCAGGAGAGCCCAGAAATCTTTGCCCAAGAGGGAAATTCAAGTGGGAAGTATATGTGTTTGTGCATGTGACATACATGGGGGTGTGTGTGTGTGCATGAGAATGGGCAGGTGACAGGGTGCAGGTGTGTGTGTGCGTGGATATGTGTGCTTTGGGGCCTCTCTCTTCCCGCCTCGGGGAACAAAGCGACCCAGTGTCAAGGGCTACCTGGAACGTCACTTCCCACTGCTCGCCAAGGTCCGTCTTGTTCCCGACCAGCATCACCACCACCTCCCCTGGGGGGGACTCCCTCTCCAGGTCCTTCAGCCTCTGCTGAGCCTTGCAGAAGGAATCCTAACAAAGGGAAAAAATCAACATCAGACAAATCCCATGGGTGGCTTTCATCGGCTATCCCGGCAAAGAACAGGCAGACGTCGGTGGGCCGCCCTGTAAAAAGGCATATGATCCAATTGGCCGTGTGACAGCCCCCCACACGTAGCCCCACTCCCCTCCCTGCAGCTGAGCTGCTCAAGTGGGCGGCCTCCCACGCTGCAGCCCATGGCATCGTGCTTGCCCCACCCTCACCCCACCCACAGACTCTGCTCTCCTTCTGCTCACCTGCCCTCCGCCTCCTCCCCTCCCCACCCCACCCCACCAGGCTGATCCCCACTGCTCCCTCCCTTCATGGAGGAAGCACCCCCAGCCCAAGCGGAGTCAGGTGCTCCTCCTATCAATTCCCACAGAACCCTGCCCTTCCCTCCTCCTGCTCTAAGTACCTGCTCACTCGTACTTAGCATCGACCCACACGACACTGGGGGAGAGGTAGGGCCAGGGACAGTGTGCTGTCTCCAGGACACGCCCCTCACCAATGCTGTGGGCACCCAAGGAATCGTGAGTGATGGATGGGAGTGCTCTATGCAGGGTGTTCTGAGAGGACCGTGGAGGGGCACAAACTCAACTGTGCAGTAGTAGGAGCAGGGGCTATCAGGGAGGGCTTCCTGGAGGAAGTGACAGACTTTCACGAAGGTGTTGTCTACTGGTTGTGGTGATTTTCCCATAAAGCACCAGCACGGGCTGGTCACGGAAAGCCTTCAGAAGAGAGCATCCCTGCGCCTGAGAGAACAGGAAGCCTTGCAGAGGAGGGTGGGGACGTGCTGGAGGCGAGCCTCACCTTCCTGGTGACGTCATACACCAGAAGCGCAGCGTTGGCAGCCCTAAAGTGGCAGATGCTGTGGTACTTCTCCTGGCCAGCCGTGTCCCAGATCTCAAACCTCAGAAACACGGCCCCAAGTCCACCACCGTCGTGAAGAACGCACCTGAAACAGAAGCCCGGGGGGAGCTTTACCTAGAGGACACGGTCTTTATCTCCAGCTCAGGCTGGGCCATCGAGGCAGGCAGGATGTGGACATAGCTTTGGGGGGACGAATCACCCTGCTAGGGACAGAGGATAAGGGACGAGTCTGAGCTGAGGTTTTCAGCGTAGAGTGGGTAAGACCATGATTCGCTGGCAGGAGACTCTAGCTTGGGGGGCTCCTAACAGAACCCACCAACCGGTGTCTGCCTGCACATCCTGCCTTTCCCTGCACAGCCAAGAGCCTGAAGTCCCATCAACCTCCTAGGCGCCTTGTCCCCCCCAGATTCATATGTGAAGTCCTATCCCCCAAAGTGATGGTGTGGGAGGTGGGGCCTCTGGGGGTAATCAGGGTTAGATGAGGTCATGAGGGTGGGGCCCCCACAGTGGGATCCGTGCCTTTGTAAGAAGAGACACAGGATGCTTGATCTCTTTCTCTCCCCCTCCCTCTCTCCCTCTCCCTCCCAACCCCCCTGTCTGTCTCTCCCACCCTTCGAAATCTCAGTGTCCTCTTCTTCATCGCGAGCCAACGGTGTCCCCTTCCCACAGTGGGTGTCAAACGACGAGAAAAGAGAGGAGAGCAGATCTGTGCATGAAGCTCCCCTTCCTTTGCCTGCCCTGGGCTCTCCCTGACCCACTGGCTGGGACGGTGGCCTTCTGTCCACATCCTTCTATCATGTCCAATCACATTCCTGAACTTGATTTTGGTTGTACCCTAAAAACGCCACCACCAGTTTCCCCATGGGCGTCACGCTTGGGTCAGCCTCCCCGGCTCAGCAACCCTAGCTTCCCATCTGCTTCTTCTCCACTTGGTAAACGACGGCTGCTGGTCGAGCTTCAGTCCACGTGCACCCCAACAAAGTTGCAGAGAGGGCTTTCGGTCCCAGTGATGATGAGGCATGAGTGACGGGGTGTTCACAGACCTCAGAACCTTGACCCTCCTGGAGAGAGACACGAGGTCCCTCTGGGGCCCCTGGACTGGTCCCCAGGACAACCTTCCACCCACCTCGGCCCCACGGACACCCTTGGCTCCAATCAGGAAAAGAGCTCACATTAATTATCTCCCTTGTTCAGAAACCCACTGACCACATTTTCTACATCGTCACAGCTAAAGCCAAAAACAACCAAATGATATTAGCCACAAGGTGGAAGGTGGGGGTGGGATCAGGCCAAGAACCAGGAATTTTTCCGTTCTAGAACAGGCTGGTGGAGATGACACATGCGCACATTTTCACGGGGCCTCGGGTGGACTGAGCTGGGGTCACCGGGTGCATTTGCATATCATGGTCCCATCACGGAACAAACCAGGTCTCCTTCCTCCTCTGGTCCCACCACGGACCTCAGCACTGGCATCCCAGCATCAGCCCCGCCCCGGCCTCAGCTCCATCCTCTGGGCGGCGGGAGGGGGGATCCTGGAAGCAGGTGAGCTGCACAGCGCCCCCATCTGCGCGGTGAAGTTCGTTAAGAATGACGGATTGCCCCAGATTTAAAAGTGTCTCCATAAATGTTGACATAAGGAACGTGGTTGTGCTCTTTCTGGTTTTAATGTCAACAAACAGCTGATTCCGCTCATCGAAGCCTCTCCTCTGTGTTTGCCTTTCAGCAGAGTCCTGGTTGAAGGGAACCCGAAATGCATAGCATCTCTCCCCGGGGCGGAGCTGACAGGGGCCAGGATGGTGACAACGCTGAATGCGGGCTGCCTTTCTTTCCCTCGCACACAGGCCACTGCGATCCACCAGCAAATACGCACGCCAGCACTAGATGTCACCATTTCTCCAAAAGATGTCACTCAGTGCGGCGGGCACCAGGAAACCGGCCAGAATTCCCAGGGCTGTGGCCAGTTGGGACTCCAGGATGGGGGGTCTGTGGGGAGCCCAGTGGGGTCTTTGGGAGCTCCCCGTGGTTCAGGTCCCCGGCCACAGCATTCCCCCTTGGAGCTGCCACCTCCCCCCCCAGTCCCTCTCCCGCAGTGGGACGGGGGCCTCCGTGGGGGGCGGGGGGGTTGGCAGGAGTTCCAGGGCTTTTCGGGTCTCCCCTCAGCAGGTGGACCCCCAGGGGGCTGTGCTCACTTGAGATTCCCACTCTGGCTCTGCTTCGGGGACACGAGTCTGTCTCTCCCCTGGCTGGACGGGATCTTGCCCTGAGACAGCTAGAACACTGTCCTGGCTCGCACACCATTCTGGAGGGCCGTACCCAGGGCCTGTGCAGCCCGCGATCGCCCACAGATCCAGACCCCCTGGCAGGGGGCCCAGGGGCGCCCACCCTCCCGAAGGCTGGAGTATCTTGAAGCTGGCCTGCTCGGAAGGCAGCACCACCCGGGACACCGGGACACGCCAGCCCCGGTCCCACTCCTGCTCTCTGGAGTGGGGGGGGGTGGGTCGGTAGGTGATGACCTTAAGTCATAACATGGTAACCCACGACTTAAGACAGCCTTGAGCCAGCCTCACACGGAGAGCCCACCACAGAGGGTGTCTACATCCCCGTTTCACAGACGACAATGTCAAGATGAGCGAACAAGCCGTTTAGCCATGTGTTGGTCACTCGGCTCACAGTTACTGAGAGTTTCCAGTACGCCAAGCACCAGGCACACGCTCCCTCCTTTATCGTCCCAGCCACCTGCCAACCTGCCCATCTGCCGAGGAGGAGGTGAGCCCCGAGTTCTCGAGTTCTCGCTGGGCTGAGCTCCTCTGCACCTGCTCCAGAACAAAAGCAAGTTCTCTCGATAGAGCCAATGCCATGTGTGGAAACAAGCAACGGAGGCGTCTGCCTTCAGAGGGTTTTTGTAAAACACAGACTACATCTGCATAAGTGAAAGGAAGGATCGTGTTCCATCGCCTCGCCTGAAAAGTGGGAAGATCGACCTTTATAATAATATATAACAATGTAATAATTACTACAGCATGATAACTAATAAGTCATATAGACGATAATACACTGATAAATATCATAGTATAATAACAAAATAATTAACTGCCCTTCTTTATTTTTATAGTAATGCAATAATTGTAGTAGCCACCTCCACAGGCTGTGGTATCATAAAGCACGTGAAGTGGACCCAGAGATTTAAGTGGAGGAAGCCAGCGTTTCCACGTGGGATTTAGCTCCTCACAGCAAAGGAGGGCTTTTCACGTCTCCGTCCCCAGCACCCAGCATGGTTGCTGACACGGAGCAGGAGCTCCATCAGTAAGTTCTAGCCCCGTGGTCGGCAGCTGCTTGAATAAAGGATTGCCAGACTCAGCTAGAGGGTCTTGGCTCCGTGGGTGCTCATCTGGTGGTTTTCTGCCCCCGCACAATCATGCACCCTGGGCACAGTGGGAAGGGAACAAAGGCCCAAAGCACCAGCCCCAAGGTAGAGGCAGGGTCCTGAGCCTGGAAGGGGGGAGGGCAGCTAAAGCCGCCCATGAGGATGAGGATGGTCCAGGGGCCAGACAGAGGACCACGAGTGGAGAGAGCACACCTAGGCCTGCCCCCAGGCAAAGACCCCCACTCTGACCTGGGCCCAGGCTTGTCCACCCTCCTGAGTCTAGCAGAACCTCTGAAGAGTGTGGGGGAGGGTGACAGCGTGGTCCCTGACTTGCTGAAGGAACCGGAGCAGGCTTCTGTGGGCAGGACAGGCCCTCGCCCACCGTCCCTGTACCTACTGTGGGCTGGGAAACGCTGTCTGCCTGGCTTGGGAAAGTTAGTGACCTTCCCATTAATACAGAGTGCCTGCTCCATCCCCAGACGCAGCTGGCTCCATGCTTAGGGGCCCCCTCCTGCCCCGCCGGGAGGGTCCACATTGCAGCCCACCCCCTTGGACCCAGCAAGTGCTGATCCCTTGGAGCCAAGTTCCCAGCTCACAGCGAGTGTCCACACCACCATCCCCGCCCCTCCCCTCCCACTGGAGCCCAGGCGCAGCCCACTGCCTCTTAGGGGACCGGCCCCCTCTCACACATCAGTAGTGCAAAGGTCCCAAATTTTTTTGGCAAAAGGCCGTAAATATTTTTGGCTTCAAGGGACCTACCATCACAGTTGCAACTACTCAATGCTGGCCTCAGACTGAAACAAGCCCCACAGGATATGCAAACGATGGGCATGGCCGGGTTCCTGGAAAACCTTATTTGCAAAATCAAGCAGATCCCTAGTAAGCCAGTTTGCAGGCCTCTGTCTTCCATGCAACCCCAAAGAGCTGTCTGGTCTGGAACCTGCTGTCTCTCTTCCTCATCTTGAATCTGCATCACCCAGTTCACACCCGGTTCACACCCAGGTGCACAGCCCTTGAGATCCCACTGGGCCAGGCCCCCTTCTCCAGTCTCTGCTTTCAACTGAAGCCCCCCACCCTGAGGCCAGACTTAGCACCTTGCTGTATTTTTTAAGTCCAGTCCAGTATCGTGGCTGAGCGGTGTCACACTTCCAGCTGATGGAGAAGGTAGCCCTGGGCCCCCTCAGCCAGCCTGAACCGCTGTCTCTTGGAGCTCTCCTGGAGTTCCCCCATCCTGGAGCCAGCCCCTCACCCCTCCTCTGCCCAGCTCACCACTAGTGCTGGGGGCCTGGGCCTGGCAGATCCCTCAGCCCCCATGGCCCTCAGACGCTCTTGGGAATCACCCTCCTGAAAAGACTGCAGGGCTCGCAAGTAGCTAATGCATGTGTCAAATTTAGCGTTGTGTGTCCATGTCCAGTGTGCCCGTTTGGTGTCTTCTAGAATCCTCCACACCCAGTGCAGCCTGGGACAGAGGCCATGCCCAGCAGGTACTTGCTACATGAGTGAGGGAGGGAGCGAATGAATGAACGAGTGAATGAATGAACGAATGAGTGGACTCGACAAAGTGCTAAGCAGAAGGCTTGTCCATGGCAGAGTCCAAGTCTGAAGCCAAGGCTCTGGCCCCGAGTGCAGGATCTGTCTTTCGCCATGCTGGCCACCTGCCAGGAGGGTCGCCATGAAGTGCGTGTTGAGTTCCTCTATTTTGGGTAGGAAACAGGATTTCAGCCCCAGGCAGCACGTGATGGAGGCCGACAGCCCAACAGATGCTCCAAAGACCTTTCCCCTGAGAGCCATGATATGTTACCTCTTTAAGAAGTGCACAGAGAGGGTCTTCCCTCCCAGCCACCCCATCCTCTGCACCCCACCCCCCCAATCCAGGCCAGGTGGTAAACAGAGACCAGGCAGAAAGGGAGCCACTCTTCGGGAAACTACCCAGGAGAACAGCTTTGGCAGGAGGGACCCCGGGCAGGGGGGAGGTCAGCTTGTCTGGGCAGCTGAATGGCAAAGCCTAGGGGGCCTTCCCTTGGGCTCCCCCTCCACCAGGTAGAACCCCTCACACCAAGCCCTGGGGCCCGAGGCCCTGACCCTGAATCTGCCCCCTGCAGCCTCTCGCTAAGCTGACACCGGACCGCCCTCCGGACTGAGAGTGTGTCTGACCAAGCCTCATCCCCTCCCTGCAGTACTGGGTGCAGCCCGAGGCCCCGGGGGAGTGTGGGAAATGCCCCACACCTGGGCCATCACCCTGGCTTCTCCTCTAGCAGACTAACCAAGGGCATGCTGTCCCGTGTCACATCCCACGGTGGGCAGGATGCTCTTGAAGTCATTCTTCACGTACCGGAGAGCCAAGCTGGACTTGCCCATGGAGCCACTTCCCAAGAGGGCCAGCTTGAACACGCAGGGCTGGTCCGGGGCAGCCCCAGGAGAGGGAACCCCTTCCGCTTGTGCCATGCCCTGCAAAGAGACAGCATTTGCAAAGAGGTTGAATGTCTGCCGTCAAATGATCTTAGCGAGTTCACCCTTGGGGCCCCCCTTCCCTGGTGAACAGCACAGAGCTCAGAGTCAGAGGCAGGCAGCCTGGGTTGGTACCCCTGCACCACTCAGCACCCCGTCTCCTCATCTGCAGAGCGGGGTGAGCAGACCCTGCATGACAGGTCTGTTGTGAGCAGTGCTTGGGAAGTGTCCTGAAGGCGCCCAGCAGGATGCCCACTGCATCCTAAGCGCTACACTCCCTGAAAAACAATCATTGTGTGCTGGTTATCATATTGCTTTGTTGTCCTCATTCCCATTACTTCTCACTTTTAAAAAAAATCGATTACTTATTCCCAAAAAGTACCAGAATCATCCGAGAGGCAACGTGCTCTCTCCGTTGCGGCTCATGGGTTAAAGTTGGTGTTTCAAAAGAATCTATCTAAAGAAAAAGTCGGTGTTTCAAGGACCTCAAAATATTTTGGTCTTTCCCACTTTATCTAAAGCCTCGGCACCCATTAGGGATATGCCATAGAGAAAAACAGCTCTGTGATCAAAATAAATTTGGGTAAATCCTGCATATCTTTTCATTACAGAAAATTTCAGGCACCCTCCACCGTGGAACAGAGACCGTCCTACTTGGCCTCATGCACCCTCCTCCACTTCCAAAACCTTGGTTCACTCACATCCCCAGACCCCCTCCCACCAACGATAGGTTTGAAGCAAAGCCCAGACATCCTGTTGTTCCATCAGCAAATCTCAGTATATATACAGGTGTTCTTTTTTTTTTTCTTTGTAATTAATTTGTTCAAGAGATCAGATTGTCCTGCAGCTTTGCAGTCTGGATCTTGCTGTTTGTATCCCCTGTTCTTGCCATGTCCTGTGAACCCTGTATTTGCTATAGCTTGGTGGTTCTGAACAGAAATCTGATCAGATACAGGCTATCGTTTGGCAAGAATGCTTCGTGAGTGTGCTTTGCATTTCCTCAGGGGGCAAATAATGGCCAAGTGCTCTGGTGGCGATGCTAGGGGTCCCTGAAGACTGTAGCCAGACCCACTATTTCACTAGAAGCTGCAGACTGGTGACATTCTAATGTCCCCACTTTGTCTCCATTTATGATCTGGGTCGCTTCTAGGAAGAAAAACTTCCCTAAAAAACATGGAAACCCACCAGGCGCAGGCAGTCCTGGGAACGGTCTCCTCTCCCTCCTCACTCAGTGGGCAGGAGGGAGGCCCCCAAGGGTGATGGGAATGCAGGAAGGGAAGGAATTTCCAAGAGGAACAGAGAGAAAAGTGACAGCAGCAAGAAGCAAACTATGTCCCCCACCCCCACCCCGCAGCTGTCCCTGTCTGGTCTGCCTGCAGGGACAGGAGGGGAAGAAGCCAGCTTGGGACCAAAGTCCCGGAACAAGCAGGGCTGAGTCCTAAATACTAACAAGACTGTTCTCAACAGAAGTGACCGGGGAGTTACAGGGTCTGAGAGAAGGATTCAGGGCTGTTTCTGCCCCTTGCGGACAGGGGGCTCGCCACAGCAGAGGGGAGTTGTCGGAAGGCCCATCTTATGTGGGATTCATGAATTTTGCCATCATGTATGATGCTTACAGTGTCAATGCATGGTGTTTCAGAGAAGGATTAGAAAGATAAAGTATTTTAAGTTTTCCATCTCTGTTTTCGTGAAGCGGATACTGGGGTCACTTGGGGAGTTGCCAGCTGCTGGTAAATCTGCTAGATCTGCTCAGGTCTCTCTGTCCCGTAGATGCAAACCTCCATCCTGCCACGGCGGCCACCCATGATCATATCCGGTCCCCATCAATAGCAGATAATAAAATAGATACAAGTCTCTGCCATCATGTGACCCGCAGTGCCCTGTCCCTTTTCTTGATTGAAATAATCCCGGTTTTGAACTCTGTCTTAACTCATAGAATGATTTTTCTAATGACTTACCTCTCTTGCTGGACTGTAACCTCTAAGGAGATTCACTTTATATAATTATTTTATTAATATTCTCACACGCACCGGGCTGTAACCTCTCATTAGAGCAAAGGACTATACTCATTGATCATATAGTAGGTGCTCAATAAATATTTCATGAACACACACAGGGATGGCTCAGCCAAAAGCCATAACTGGACAGACATGCTGTTTCCAGCCCACGGTTTGCACGGCCGGTCAAACCCCAGGCAGCTGGCCAGGCAGTGAACTGGGGCATCTGCAAAAATGTTGAACCGAAGAAGCGCCTCCGGCAGCCATTGAGAACAGCTCCATGCAGGGGGCTCAGCCCTGAGTGGCCAAGAAAAGTTGAACGTTACTTGCTTTAAGGTTGTCCTGCACGAGTACTTGGAGGAGACTGTGAAGGCTGAGGTGACTAAGTCTAACACACAGGCCACCTCCCCGGAGGATCAGGGCGGACGTGCACACACAGCCCTGCCCAGCTTGGGCTGCACGGAGCCTCCTATTGAAGCTGGGCTAGCAGCCTCCGGGGGTCCTGGCATTACCCCACCTTTCAGAGAGGCCCGACAGCTCTTCTAAGACAAGGATGCAGAATTCGAAGCCAGAGCAGGCTGCGTTCACAGTCACACTGGGCACCCCAGTGTGGTTCCTGCCCTTGCAGAGAGCACCAGCATGCACTTCCCACATCAAAAGCGGTGATGCAGTGAGCCCGTCCAGGCCAGCCACCGGCCTGGGCTCATGGCCAAGAGGACAGTCAGCTCAATAGCAAACCCTAATTTATAAACTGCTTCTTTTTCCCCACCCCCCCCAAATTCAAAGGAACAGAGTAGAATGCTGGTTACCAAAGGCTGGGGAAGGGGAATGAGAAGATACCAAAGGATACAAATTTCCAGTTACAAGATTAACAATTCTGGGCATCTAACATACAGCATGGACATTATAGCTAATTATACTGTATTACATCCTTGAAAGTCCCTAAGAGAGTAGATCTGAAATGTTCTCAGGGCCAGAAATGGTAATTATGAGCCAGGATGGAGGTGGTAGGAACAGCATGGTGGCCACCACGTTAGAGCACATAAATGTGTCAAATCAACATGGTGCACACATTGAACTTACAGAACGCTGGATGTCCATTACAGCTCAACCAAGCTGGAAAAAAGAAATCCTTTTAAGAATGGAATGTCCCGGGGGTGCCTGAGTAGCTCAGTCATTAAGTCTCCGCCTTTGGCTCAGGTCATGATCCCAGGGTGCTGGGATCGAGCCCCACATCGGGCTCCTTGCTCGGTGGGAAGCCTGCTTCTCCCTCTCCCACTCCCCCTGCTTGTGTTCCCTTTCTCGCTGTCTCTCTCTCTGTCAAATGAATAAATAAAATCTTTAAAAAAAAAAATAAGAATGGAATGTCCCGGCTTTCGGTGCCACCCCAAGCTATGCCCTCATCTCTAGCCAGAACTACTTACGGTTCCCGCCTAGAAGCAGGTGCCCCATTGATTTGTACTATAATTCTGCACAGAGAAAGTTCTAACACACCTACAGCGATGCATTCTCGAGTAGTTAAAGATACCCCTTCAAGTTTTCCTTGCTATTTATGCGCTCGGATTAATAAAGCTCTTAGGTCTAGAAAATCTTTAGCCTAAGACATGTCTGAATAGACCAAAACAGGTGGATTACGAATGAATATACCATTCCTATGATGCCGCATTCCAGCATCTTATTCCTTTGGCAATGAGACATCTCTTTGTTTAAAAATAGCATTTTACTATAAATATAAACACATCATTGTCAATATGAAAAAAACGAAATCACCCAAAGTCCCACCCCCTTAATATAACCAGGAAAGGCATTTTGCCTATTTTCTTCTTGGTTTTTTGGCTATGAATCTTAAAAACAAGCAAACCAAAACCCAGAGCTTTAACATAAAATTATGTATTGCACCTTTACAAAAAGCAACATATGTAAAAAGCAGCTTTCCGCATTGCTGTTTATGTTCCACATGCATTCAGCTTAATATATTTAGTGACCACAGAACATTCCTACCGCTTTTCCACTTTGCCAACCCATTTCCCAACTACGGATTTTTTTCTTGGTCATAATTGTTTTCTCGGTAATAAATAAGACTGCAGAAAGCACTTCCGTGTACAACTTTTTGTGTGATGACATGCTATAAGCTTCCAACAATCAGAGAGAAAATTGAAAATGTGACTTCTGACCCAACCTCTAGAATTTAATCAAGATGGGGTTATTTGAAGTCTTTCTAAACACAAAGATCTTCTCGGGAACACAATATTCGTGATTACGGGTAAGAGAAGCCCTCTGGAGCATCTGATTTGGGGTTTTTTAAAGTTTCTTACCAGCTCGTCTCTTTTCCACCAAAGGGAAAAAGAAAGGATTACAAATCTGAACTAGTCCTTCCTTTCGGTAGGGGAGGGAATTTCAGGGAGGGGTCCGCTTTGCTGAGGCTACCGTCCAGGACGTCCCTGCCCGGGCACGTAAAGAACACCGAGATTACTGAGCAGCTGGTTATGCTCCCCCCCAGCCAATCTGCACTAACTGAGCATCCTGATCCATCTGAGGGGGGCTGCCCCGCATCGGCTTATGGTCAAGGCCTGGAGCTGGGCTTTTCCCAAAGCCACCGTACAAACAGGAATCTCCTTCCGGGAGCCTGACCTAGCCAGCCACGCGGATCCAAACACAGCCCCTTCCGGTCCTCAGGAGAACAAATTCCTCATGCCACACTTTGCCCTTTTGATTATCGCACAAGCGCAAAGGTACAGAAACCCTCCCACACATGTGCACACGTGTGCACACGGAGACACGCATAGACACATGCATACATGCACGCACATACACACACACAGAAGCACACAGACACACATGCACACACGCAGATACACACGGACACACACAGAGATACACACAGACGCACACTCGCACACACACAGACATGTGCACATACACACACACTCACACACACTCTGCAAAACACACAGAAGTTAAAACAACGACTCACGTGTTCCCCAGGCCTGATCCCCTCCAGGA